CAAAAAAAAAAAAAAAAAGAAGATGGCCACATACAATCCAGGAAGAGAGGCCTCACCAAAAACTATACCCAACAGCACCTTGATCTTGGACTTCTGGCCTTTAGAATTGTGACAAAATAAGTTTCTGCTGTCCAAGGTACCCAGTCTATGCTATTCTGTTGCAGAAGCATATGTAACAGGGCCAGGGATTTAGCTCAGTGGTTCCACTTCCTGCCTCTGCAAGCAAGAGGACCCAAGTTCAACCCCCAGTACCAAAAAAAAAGAAAAAAGAAAAAAGAAACATATGTAACAGAATATAGTAAGACAATATAAGATAGTTTTTAACCCCATTTTGTAGCTAAGAAAACCAGGGTCTACTGGTTAAGTAACACATTTAGTAATGCAGCTTCCAATGAAGCAAAGTCATGATCTGCAATGTCTGTCAAACTTTGAAGCCATTCCCTAAAGCCACATTCCAGTGATTCCTGAAAGCTTCTTTACATACAATGTGTCAGAGTCCAGAGAACTTCCAAAAGGTCCTCAGGGAGAAGATTGTACCAGGGGAGGATAAAGATGGGTAGCACTACTGCTACCTAGTAAGGAAGCTTTCAATCCAGCCCTTGCCCAACTCTAGGTTGTTTAGTTTTGCTTGGCCAGGAAAGAAATGTCAACATCAGATAAATCCTGTCCCTCACCTGTCTCTCCAGTAGGATGGGAGACCTGGGCAGGGAGTTGGGGCTCCACAGGCTGGCAATGAAGGCTCAGTGATGACTGCTATTCTGCAGGCAGTCTCTCTCTAGAGAGGACTTATCTGTGTTTGTGAGTTATGATCTGAGGACAAAGAAACAAGATTTGATTTCTGAAGAAATTTACTGTTTTAAGCACTTCCCAGAAAGAAGGGCACAGGAAGATGGGTCTTATTACCAAAGTCTAGGGGATATAATGGAGAGGACACAAAGGTCCTTGTTGTCCCACATACATATTCTTCCCTAGCAAACCTCCCTTCCTACCTCATGTTGTGGTTCATCAAGTTCTCTCTCCAGCTCTTCCAGCAAACTCATAGCCTCTTCCCGCACTCTCTGGACAGTGTTCCCTTACCCAGCCCTGCAGCTCCTCAGGCAGAATGGACAGGAATTACTTCAGTATCAGAAGCTCCAGGATCTGCTCCTTTGTGCTCACATGTGGCTTCAGCTACTGGTGGCAAAGTTCCTAAGTCGAATAAGCGCCTCCCTTGGTCCTGGGGTTTCCTGGTAGCAAGCTGCTCAAAGTGCCTTCAGAAGATTTCCCTTGCTAGGGGATTACTACATTTCAGCCTGGATTCCTGCTTTTGGAGCTGGCATTCTGCCTCCACTTTCATCATCACAAGCTCTTCCAATACCTCAGGGCTTGAAAATCCAGAGATAAAACCTGTATATTCATCCTGACCTTGAGCAGCTATTAAATCACCCTTCAAAACACACCTTTGGATGCTTCTGAGCAGTGAACATAATTGCCTAGAGAAAAATGGCAATAAGTGATGATGGAAATTTATTATCAGTAATTATCGTAGACTGGAAAGCTTTTCCTTGAAAGTAGCTGCTGGGTGAGCAAAAAATGGATATAATAATAAAACAGAAGTCTATACTGTACAAAGAGCAGAAACTTCCAAGTTACTTTGACCTGGGTTTGACTCTGGTTCTAACACTAACTGTGTGACTTTGTATTGATTTCTTATGTTCTTTTGATCTTAGCTTCTATATGAAAAGAAACAGCAATACCATCTTACAGAGTTGGTGAGGAGCTGAGGCTATACTTCTGCACTATGGAGCTCATCTAGCATGTTTAAGGTCCTGGATTCAATCCCTAGTGCTGCCAAAAGAGAAAAAATAATCCCCTTACCTAACAGAGCTCATGGAGAAAGCAGCCCACGAATTACATATCACACAGAGGACTCAGAAAATCTTTCTTTAAGTCTGAACTCACTGCATAAAAATCAAATTAGAAAATGAAAAATTGGAATAATGTGCCCGTTCTCAACTAAAGGAACAAACCAGGAGTTATTGAAATCTTTTATTGAGCTTTAAAAAATTAATCTACAAAACAACTATTTAAGGATGGTATTATTTTCACTAAACCTACAGAAAGCAAAGGTTAGGTGGATTTCAAGTCCTGTGAGCTCTCCACACTGCCCAGCCGCTTTCTGGGTAGCTGTCGACACACGCACAAATTTCCAACACGCTTTCAGATTTTCAAGGTCACCTTTAATCCTCACCAGCACCATCTGAAATTTTACTCCATTCATCATCTCACTAGGTACTAAATGAAGAGAAGGGGAAATTCAGTAGGTCATCTAAGGTTAAATGTGTTGTGAGGAAGTCCTGAGGATTCACAGAAAGCCAAGAAAGCAGCTTTCTGCACAGTGTGCGCAGTGCCGGAGACCCGGGGCGGGGTGCGTGTGGGGCCCGTGTGTGTGAGCTGTGTGTGCGATATGTGGGGTGTGTGTGTGTGTGCTGTGTATGCCATGTGTGGGGTGTGTGTGTGTGATGTGCGGTGCCTGGTGTCACCTGCTGCGCCTTGGCTTGCGCTGCGGTTTCTTCTGCACCTCAGCGTCCCGCCTCGCTCCCTCCACCACCCTGTGTCTACCCCACCGCGGAGGCCTCACTTAGGTCCCCCTGCCCCACCTCCTCGGGTAGGCTCACCAGCAGCACCCTGGCTCAGCCCACTGCCCCCCCACCCCCGTGGCAGAGTCACCAGACCTGGCAGCTCGGAAAGCTGCTGCAGGATGCTCTGGCGTCGCCAGGGATGCGGGAAGAGCGCCGGCAGAGAAAGTTGCGGGCCAGAGGGTCCTCGCCTCCGACGCACCTGTCGCACTTCCGGCAAGTCTAGGAACCGTGTCTCGGTGTCAGGCCTCCAACGCCGATTCATTTGGAATCCGCCTCATTTCAGAGCGTCCAGCTCTGGAAGCCCTGAGCTTTACGATTAGAATTTCAGCCCTGAGTGGGCTGCGTATAGGTTATTAAAAACAAAAAAACAAAAAAACAAAAAACAAAGAAAAAGAAAAGATGAAATAGGCCATTAGTCTTTGAAAAGGTTGCTTTTAAAGACATTTTGAAAAAGTAATATATTTTAAAAATAAAAGCTCTTCTTAGTCCTGCTCCCTGAGATAGCCACTGTCACCGTTAGTTTGAAATTTGTGCGTCATTTTGATCTCTTTCCTTTCTAGTTTGCTATAAAAGTTGTCTGGATTTTAGAAATCCTAAATCCCAGATATGTATTATTGGTTTAAAAAAATCTCATAGGTGCTCTTAGTCGTTTGTCAATGTTATTGTGCCAAGCAGAGTGGTGGTATGGTATAATCTGTTTTAGCAGAATATCACGATTTACTTTATTAAAACAGTAAGAATGAATCTTGTGTTTTTTATTTTATAAAGATGATATGCATACACACATTGTAAATCCACCAACGTTTCAGAGCACACCGAACACTTTTATGTGAAGTGTGCACGGTATGAACCGTCCATTTAAGCAGGTTGTATACAGACCACAATGAATCTGTTTAGTTTACTATAGGATTTGCCCTGGGATGAATTTTCTCCCCAAATTTATGGGGAAAAGTACTTACAAATTTTTAAAATTTAAAACTGGATAAGAGAGGGCCCAGGATTTAGCTCAGTGGTGCCACCTCCTGCCTTGAAAATGCAAGGTCCCGATTCTGATTCCAGGTACCAACAAACAAACACAAAAACAAAACAAAAAAACTGGATAAGGGCCAGGCATGATGGCACACGCCTGTAATCCCAGCACTTGGGAGGCTGAGGCAGGAGGATCGCTGTGAGTTGGAGACCAGCCTGGGCTACATAGTGAGTTCCAGGTCACTTTCAACTACATAATGAGACCCTATCTCAAAAACAAACAAACAAACAAGCAAACAAACAAAAAGAAAAATTGGATATGGGATATTAAGTACTAGTCTCTAATTTCTTTTAGATATTGAAATATTTTCAAAGTAAAATTTGAAAATAACTCTCCTAGTCCTTCCTGCCTGCAGCCATTTCACTCCTTATAAATAACCAAAGCTATTGATTTCTTTTTTTTTTTTGGTACCAGGGATTGAACTCAGGTCCTTGCGCTTGCAAGGCAGGCCACTGAACCGCTGAGCTAAATCCCCCACCAAGCTATTGATTTCTTGTGTAGCATTTCTGAGATATTTTATGCATGTAGAAGTAAATACTTAGATATAATTTGTTCCTGACATTACATGAACAGAGAATTATGCATAGTGCTCCCTATAGATCTACCTCTTATTTTTAATAGTTGAATTATGCAGATTTACTTAGTTGGTGTAGAGGAGAAGGCTACATGGGAACATGGGTGGGAATAGGAATTGCAGTTGTGTTTTCACACACGGAGCCACAACTCAGGTCAAGACTGCAAACAGTCTTGAGAACCATCCGATAACATTCTGGGAACAGTCTGTTTTGAGAAAGTATATGAATAACTAGAACCAGTTGTTCATAAAAAATATTTTCTAATGCTTTGCTACAGATAATCTGTAAGGAACTAACTTTATTCTCATGGAAGTATTGTGCATGAACCTAATAAAAACCGAGGTTGGTGAGAGCTTGCCTGTTAGCGCTTCAGCCCGCTACTCCTCGGCAAAACTACATCCCTGCTGTCTGGCTGTCCTTCGCTTCCCTGATGACAACAAGTTGGCCCTCTGTTAATGGGCAATTAGGCTATTCCCAATAATTTTGTTTATAAATAATGTTGAACTAAATAGTTTCAAACATACATCATCTTGTGTGTCAGTATATCTCTTGGATAAATTCTTAGAATTTCTGAGTCAAAAAATAAGTGCATTTGTAAAATTGATGTACACTGCTAAATTGCACTCCAAATTAAAAATTTTATAGCTCTTGACAATGAAAGTGATATCTCTTCCTAATCTTACCAAACTTTTGATCTTGGATAATCTGATAGATTTTCAGGAAAAGGAGTATTATTGTAGAGTTAATTGCATCCTTATATATGAATATAGTTGAATTAGCTAATGTTTATACACCTTGTCTGTGAATTTTCTGTTCATAACCTTTGTCTCATTTATGATGGTCTTTCTTTTGTTGATGTGCATGATAATCATATAGTAAGAAAAGTAGCCCTTTGTGATAACTTAGCCTTTTTCTACTCAACTTTATGATTTTTGTTATGTTCTGCAGAAACTTTTAATTTTTAAGTACTTAAATTTACTAATCTTTTCTGTTTCTGGATTTTGTGTGATACTGAGAAAAGTCTCTTTTTAAATTTCCAGTACTGGAGATTGAATTTAGGACCTTGTGCTTGCCAGGTAAGAGCATCACCACTGAGCTTCCTGCCAGCACCGAGAAAAGCCTCTTTGTGCCAGATCAATAAATGAAAATTCTCACATGATTTCTTCTAGTGCATGGTTTTGGGTTTTTTTTCTAAATTTTTTTGTTTTGTTTCTTGAGATAGGGCCTCACTATGTGGCTCAGGCTGGCCTCAAACTCATGGCAATCCTGCCTTAGCCTCCTGAGTGCTGGGATCACAGGCCATGTGCCACTGTGCCTGGCCTCCTACTTAAATTTTTTTTTTTTTTTTTTTGTACTGGGAATCGAACTTGGGACCTTGCATTTGCGAGGCAGATGGTGGAACCACTGAGCTAAATCCCCAGCCCCCTACTTAAATTTTTGAACTAGAAATTATCCAGTTGTTAAATGGGAGGTATGGATTGCACTGTTTTTCAGATGTCTACTGAGGTGCCAAAAGCCTATTAAATAAGCCATCTTTTCTCCACTTACTGAAGTGCAATCAAATATTTAAATAGTCATGCAGGAAAACATATATTTTCCTTGTTCTTTTAAAATAAATTTTCCTCACTTGGGAGGCTGAGGCAGGAGGATCTCTGTGAGATCGAGACCAGCCTGGCTACATAGTGAGCTCCAGGCCAATCTCAACTATATAGCGAGACCTTGTCTCAAAAAAACCCAAACAAATAATAAATAAATAATAAAAGTTCCTGGCTATTAATGTTTGTTTATTTTTCACATAAAATTTATTGTTTGAAAACAAAATTGTTTTTAAATTGACTTTATATTAAATATCTACACTAACTTGTAGAGCAAATTGATGTCTTTCCATATACTGGGTCAATTAAAAATGCCTAAAATTTCTTCAGCCTGATTCTTTAGTGTGCTCTTAAACATGCTTCTTAAAAGTTTTACCTCTTTGTTGCTATAGTAAGTGGTATCTTTGTCTACTGTGTGGTCATGTGTGTGTTCAAGTATAGGAAAGCAACAGTTGTCTCTTAAGTAAATATGTATAATTTTAGAAACGAGCCATAGGACACCTTCATATATCTAATATAGTGACAATTTTAGTTCCTTCCTTGTGATTTATTTGAATACTTTAAATTCCTCTAGAACACTATAATAGTGATGCAACATCTTTAATACATAGCTAACTCCACAGGGAACACCAGTTTTCTCTGAGGAAGACAATGTTGACACGTCTGATGGGTTTATCGTGTTAAGAAATCATCTATTTTTCAAGTTCAGAATATTTTTAAGTGGATGCTGACACAATCAAATGTCTTCTATGTCTAAACTCTTACATGTGTTTTCTTCTTACGTATGCTAATATGATGACTAAAGATTTAATTAATTAATTAATTAATTTAGGTACCGGGGATCGAACTCGGGTCCTTGCGCTTGCGAGGCAGGCCACCGAACCGCAGAGCTAAACCAAAGATTTAATTTTAAATAATTTTACCTTCATCAATATTTTACCATGGTGAGCAGTGTATTACTTTAATTTGCTGTTGGATGGTTTGCCCACATTATAAGAAATCAGTAGAAGTGAGAAAAGAATATCTTATCGGTATCAATGTAAGTTTGACGATCAATCGCAGGATTTTGTCACAAAAAATATATTTCCTTCTCTATGTTCTGGAGCAGTTTTAGATGCATTAAAATTATCTGCTTTATAATGGTTTATAAAAATTCTCGAGTGAAGCTAATTATTTCTGATTCTTTGGGGAAGTAGTTTGTTCACAATTTTTATGTGTTCAGTTGGTTGTTATTGATATCTCCGATTTGGTATTTCTTACAAGGTTGCCTTGGTGTACTGTATTTCCAAGAAATACGTTTGTTGTTTGTTTGTTTTTTTCCTTGGTGTCTAGGGTAATCGAACTCAGGACTTTGCTTTTGCCAGGCAGGGGCAGCGCCACTGAGCTAAATCCCTGGCCCAAGAAATACATTTTTGCGTAGCGTTTAAGTAGCAGTTTTTGGTTTTATCTGCTTTTGCTGTTGCAAACTCCGCTGGCACGCCTCTCCCCCTCATGGCCCGGACGGAGCGCGGCCGCTGAAGCACCAGGGCCTGGAGGCGGGGGCAGGAACTGATCGGTGTCGGCTGCCGCACGGAAGCGACCGCGTTCCCCGCTGGTGCCCCTCCTCGAGTTCGGAACGTTTTCCGCCTAAAGGGAGCCGGGACGAGGCCAGCTCCGCGACACGAAGGCCGGAGGCGGGCGTTGGACGGTGCTGTGCGCCTTTCCCCAGACTAACGTCTGCGCGCTCCTCGGGGCGCGCACTTCGCAAGCTGCCAAAGCAAATGCAGAAACGAATTAAAAGTCCTTGCACCCCCAAATCAATCCTAAAATAATCCACGCCAACAGTCCGGTGTGTGTGTCCCCGGCACTCAAAACTGAGTGCACAGCCGCGAGCACAGGTCTATGCCGGGCTTTGGAGACGAGGCTGCTCCGCGCGCCACGCCGCGGGGGCCGCACCCTCGGCTCCGGCTGGCGGACGCTCTCCGATGGCCTTACCGAACCTGTCCGCAGACTGCAGACCCGCCTGCTGCGCATCCTGAGGGCTGAATTCCAGGACGCTGGGCGCCCGTCCCGGCCTCCCAGCCCTGCCTGCCCACTCCATCACCTCCTGGCGGTCATTTGAACGACTTAAGAACCCGTCTTTCGCCTCCTCCCGGCCGT